CCTCAGCCATTAAGATATAACTGGTTTATAGCTTATTATATTTTAAGGTTCATAGTTGTTATTTCGCTCCTAACGATCCAACATATTTTTAAATCCTGGGCTTTCAAATAATAGGGTCTATGCGTTCCTGATCAATGTAAATCCAAAATGGTGCTTCGGAAGCACGTAAGTAATACATATTATTATCTTGAATTTAAGGTTTAACTCATAGATAGACGTGTTTTCTGGATAAAAATTTAACAAAAATACCGAACTCCAAAGTAAATAAACAAAAGTACCAACCTTCAAGGTAAAATAACAAAAGTACCGACCTCCAAAGTAAATTAAACAAAAGCACGTACCTCCAAAGTAAATTAACAACAGTATCGACCTCCAAATTAAATCAACAAAAGTACCGAACTCCTAAATAAGTGAAGAAAAGTACCGACCTCCAAAGTACAATTAAAAGTGAAGAAGACCATGAGAACTGACAAAATCAAACGCTATATCATCCAACTGGTCGACTGGAAATCAACTGTCACATTCCTATCTTTGCTACAGGCATTTCCCGGAATAATCTTTGGATTAATTCTACATAGATATAGGAAGATGTGGTATGAGTGCCAATGAGACAACTCTCCATCCAAGTTACAATTTATAAAAGTAAACCATTATAGGTCAAGGTACGGCCTTCAACACGGAGCATTGGCTCACACCAAACAGCAAGCTATAAAGGGCCCCAAAACAATTACTAGTGTAAAACCATTCAAACGGAAAAACCAACGGTCTAATCTATATAAAAACGAGAAACGAGAAACACGTATGAACTACATAAACAGACGACAACTACTGTAATCAGATTCCTGACTTAGGACAGGTGCAAACATTTGCAGCGGGATTAAACGTTTTAATGGTACCAAACCTTCCCCCTTTTCTGAAACAATGATATAACATCACAACATAGAAAAACACACTATAAAGTATCAATTGGAAGGCTTAACTCAATCAAAAAACGTAAATTAACACACAATGAACGAATAAATTTTACCTGTGACACCTGAATGCAAATACACAGTTAATAAAAACTTACAAGGGATAAATATTTAAAGTCAAAAGTAAATAAACAGCTTTAAACAAAGTTAAAGTATGATATCACTGTGAAATTTCAAACAATTTTTAGAAAATCATCACTTTTGAAGAAACCTGCGTCATATTATACACAGGTAAATGAAAATAATTTTTTTTTTGTTAAGTATACTTATTCTTCTGTGTGTATAAAATCTTCCGTTTAGGAATACCAAGAAATTTCTTTAATATCAATAAAACTAATCTAACACTTGTAACATATGGGGTGAATATCAACAATAAAAATATACAATTAATGCTAGATAAAACTTCCTGTACAGGTCCAAGAACAGCATCTAAGGAAAAATGAAATAATTTTGATGTTCATAGTACGAAGAAGTGAAAATTTGTAGTAAATTAAATACCAAATAATCAAAGCTGGTATATAGACAAGATCCATGTTAACATTAAATAGCAAAAAAGCATTACAAATAGTATCAAGAGGTCAAATTAAAAAGAAAGTACGATTTGAGAGTACTCGCAGTTACTGACAGCTAGTTAAAAGCCATAACCTACATCTTTTCGAAGGAGTTTGAAATAGCTATAAAGCACAAAAATTTGAAATGTATTTTAAACTTTATTTCTGAAATATTACTTATTTATTTCCCGAGACGTGCTGTCAATGATAATTAGTTTATCTAAAAGAAGGTAACAACATTCTGGCGATAAACCGATAACTCGATTATTTCATTATGGTACTACAGAGCTATACTCGAGTTCTCGTTCACATCCATAGTATAAATTGTTAATTGAATTTTTTCTCACCGCAGATGTGCATGACATAATTGCAATTGGGTGATACTTTAGCATCATAAAAATACAGCTGCAACAACCACAATAAATATTTCTTAAACTGTTTATTTATTTTAATTTTTGTACATACTAAGTTTTATCTTGGAAAAATCTTGCCCTACCATTTCATTTGCTTTCATTCAATTCCTTATCTTGATAATTACATATTTGATATATAAAAGCATGAACTTTATTTAGAAAGTGTCGTGTTGCATTAAACATTTTTGCTTTGGTTATGACTATGTTGGTAAATAAATTAAAGACTCGATTTAACATTGTAAAAATAAGGAAATGTAACAGTGTTGTACCAACTGTTTGATTTGAAAGGAGACAACTATCCATCGTTGAAAAATAAAACACATATAATGATCTTACAGGCAACGTGTAGTTATATATGATTATCACATTTAAAAGGACAGTTACATCTTCTAACAATAATTCCGATTAACGAGTAATAGGCTGCATATTACCTATAGCAAGATGAATTTACATGTAGTTACAAAGAGACATTGTACTTTGTCAATTGGATTTACTCTGCTCTAAAAATATCAGGTACCGGAAATATTGATTTCATGACCTGTTGATGACATTTTTAAGATATCAAAATATTTGTTAATCACACACTTGGAATTGTGACATTCGTCAATTTAGCTCCAGAATAAAATCTAGCTCACCATTTTCATTACAACACTCTGCTTTTTACCTCTATAATAACAAAATTTCTGTATATCTCCCCTGAAATTATTTGTGAACGTCTGTTTCTCTTGCAATTGAAGAAAGTGCTGACATCATTCGGACTAACTCTTGACGTTTTTCAACTGGTCACAATTTTTGTTATTACTTGTCATCATCTGTTCCTTTGTCCATAGTTTGTGGTAAAGACCGCCCTGTAGCCTTTACATGTATATCCCAATGTGTTTATCTTAATAAAGATGTATACAATTATTTACTACCTAAAATTTCTTCTTTATAGTCTTTGACGATAGAGTCTTCATTTTTTGGAACCAGATTTTTTTTTCTTGTTCTTGAAAATTTGTCGGTAACAGATTAGTTTCGAGCAATTTGTATTGTTTTGTTGGAGACAAAACTAGAGGATACCGAAAGGTCTTTAATAGAGAAATTAGAACGGGGGTTGTCAGGTTCATGTAATTACGCATTGTAACAGGATCTACACTTTAATCAAATCTGAAATTTTTACAATTGCTTTTTGCTAATTAAATGAAAAAAAAAAAAGGATTATCATTAAAAGACTTCAAAATATTTCCACTCTTTTATAAGAACTTGTATTACTATGGAAGCGATAAAATATGAAGCCTATAAAGTTAATAGCTTTTTATGTTGTATGACAGGCTTCGTATACCTCTTTGTTTTTAGGTGCATTCGGTTGCTATGTTATATGTATGTTAGCATTATCAATTAGAAGATAATAAGTGCGTTATTGTTTTATAGGCATATACGTGTATTAGCTGAACTAAAAATTACAACTGTTTTAATGTTATTCCTCCTCGATTTCCATTTAGTATCATCCACTTCTTTGAAACTGTTTTCCGTTTAAAAAATGTTTCTGAATATTTTATTGTTTGGTGTAAGTTTTTTAATTAACATATCTTTATGTGTGTTTTCTACCTATGCCGTTCCCTTCTTGAAAAAAAGAGATTTTTTCTATCACGTGATACATATATTATTTTCGTTAAATTATGACACTCCACTAATTATTCCCAACCTTCACTTTCAAGTTAATTCGAGGTGACGGATTTTTAAAACAATAGATAGAAAAGAGTTTAGTTATTGACATGATACAATTACAATCTTTTTAAAAAATTTAAATATGACCACCGACTTAAACCTTTCCAGGTACAGTATATACAGCTGTCTGGCTGCTTTATTTACTTTATGGAAAACGCTTATGGAAATTGAAATGCAAGAAGGTGAAGATGGATTTCTAATGGAGACCATGTTTTTTATATTTTATTTGAAATATTTGACTAAATATGTGCCTGGAAAGGGACATGTAGTTAGTGATTTTGACAAGTGTTATGTTATAAGTGCAATTTGTTATTAATGCTAAAATCAACAATGTCACGAAGAATGAAAAAAAATGTGCGAAAGGTGAATTAAAATCGATATAAAGAGACTCAAATTTCCAATATTCTTTGTTCTTTCATAAGAACGTTTATTGTTATAAAAGTGATAAATATTAAATATAAAATTAATAGCTTTTTATGTTGTACATGTTGTAAAACAGGCTTCGTGTATCTCCTTTATGTTTATGCGCATTGCGGTAGCTATGTTATTTTAGCATTACCAATTTGTTGGTGTACGTTTCAAATTAAATAGATTTACCTGAATTTTTTGTGTGTTGATACCTGTGATGTTTCCTAGATATGGTTTTATTTACCATGATGACTATAATGTAGTGTATACGGCTTGATTTATTCTATCTTGTAATACACATACTTTTTTGTTAAATTTTGATTCGCTAATAGTTATTCTAAACCTTAACTCTCAAACTATTTCGAGGTGATACATTTTTAAAACAATATGAAGAAAAGAGTTGATTTATTGCATGTATTGATATGTTGCAGTTACATGACCTCCGACTTAGGCCTTTCCATGTATATTAAGATGTCGAGCTGTTTTGTTTACTCGATGGAAAAAAGTGTATACAATTGAAATGCAAGATGTCTAAGAGCATTTCTAAGGGAGGGGAGGCCATTTTTTTTTTATTTGAAAAATTTGACTACTTATTGCCTAGATAGGGACGTAGTTATTGTTATTGATACTTAAATCGACAATATCACAAAGAAACACAGATGTGCGTAAGGTGATGTAAAATTGATATAAAGTGTTAATACTTTGCGAAAATGTAGTTTATCACAAGCTATTTGACAAAATATAATTTTGGTAACGCAGATTTTTAAGAGCTTCAGGTTGTGCAAACTGTGAGTAATAGAAGAAACCTAAACTATAGAATTTTAAAAAGGAATATGAGAAAACAAGTCTAGGTCATGATATGTGCTTTCAGAAAAGAAAAAAAAATAAGCTCACCATACTCGATGTCTTGCTACAAAACAAAATAGATAAATTTCCTATTCACTCACTTTTATTATCTATCTTAACCATTAATTGTATTAAAAAAAACACCAATGAAATTATTTTAACACGTTTATGAATTTTAAAAGCGTTACCAATAAAACATTTACATGTAACGATGACGAATTGTTGTCTTGATACATTCAAAACTCTTACTTTTTCATGCTTTTATCCCACAGCTATGTTCAATGCGCATGTTATTGTAATTATTGATTTTGGTAATCATTTTAAACACCTATGGACCAATCACTCCCACCAATATTTTACTGTGACCAGTGACATTTTATAGAGAAAACACGATGACAGAACGAACGTATTTGTGTCAATATGAAAAACAAAATCATTTGCGCCAATTTGACATGAAAAAATATTCTAGTTTAGCCAAAAACAAGTTTTCATTTGCGCCATTCTAAAATGACCAGGTACTCAAGGCATTCCGATAGAATATTGTATTTAAACATTTTAAACGTTACACGTGTGCTTGGTGTACATTTAAAAAGTTTTACTATGCGGTTCGCAAAAAAAGCAACCTTCAGGAAAAATATTGTACCATGTTGTAACAGGCTTTTATTTTTTGAAATATATTTTGAGGTGAATTGAGGCGACGAACATTTATAAATTGTGTGAATTTTAATCTTTAAATGCCTGTTCCAAGTCAGGAATATAACACATTTTTTTCCATTCGTTTGATGTGTTTGAGATTTTGAATTTCCCTTGGAGTTCGGTATTTTTGTTATTTTACTTTTTAGTTATTTAAAGGGGGTTCGTTTAAAAAAAAATACATACCTCATATCATTTTTGGTACGAACTGTATGTGTTTAACTACAGTATGATTGTTGTTCTCTTTTTTACTGGTACTCAGAAAAAAATGAAACAAAAATGAAAAAAAATTGGATGCCTCTATGACAAAGTTTTAATAATAGTTAGGTGTTTTTGATACAAAATGCTATTTATAGACAGAGCTATTTAATTATTGTTGAGAAGGCATACATAGGCTTGGCCTGTTACCAAATCCAATTCAATGTATTTGAATGAAATATTCCCTTTACACATTCATGTATTGACATACTGGAAGAGCCCAATTGTCCAAACAACTTTGTTGCAATAAGATTAATCTTTTTTAGACCGATATATCATGAGGAAATAACTCAATAATATGTTGACTGCAGACTATGTTTTTTTAATCAAATATATCAGTTAAGGTAGTTCAGGGGTATACCGCCATCTTGAATTGTACAATCACGGTAAATAATCGGTCTAGTTCTTTGCCCAAATCTGCAAATTTGGAGACAGATTTGCAATTTATTGGTTACACTGTATATTTATATAAAGAAAACTTAATTATTCATTGCATTATCGAAAATGTTTTAACAAATACCAAATATTTGTGCTTTTAGAAGCCATTTAAGGGGAGATTACTTTTTTAGTACAAAATTTATACTGGACATATAGGGAAATTTTCATTTTTTACTGGTAGCAAGAACACAAGTTCGGTGACACCACTTTTTCTTTTTATTTTCTTAAAATATATAATAAAACCTTTTCATTATTTATTTCAAAATTCTGTTTCATAGATTTCTTTTTATGCACAAAAATGTGTATTTTCATGAACAATCTAAGGAAATTTTTGCAATTTTGAACGACTCGTACCTTGAAAAATAGCGCGGTGACCCATACTTTTTATCATTTTTTGAAAAAAGCAAAGTAAAATCTTCATTTTTGCAAAGTATAAGAAAAAATTTTGTCGTTTTTATTTCCTATACCCCTGAACTACCTTAAGGTGAAATAACACGGTCAACATGTGATAGTTATAACAGATACAATATCCACTCGGTGACTTTGATTTTTTAAATAGGTTAATGTACTTATCCTGTGCGAATTTAAATCTTCACCTCCACGCAAGTGTTAACCAATATTGAAATGAGATTAAATGAAATATGTTCAATTGACGCAATCAAAATCATTTATAGGCGCAGATGGAAAAAAAATTGGCATAAATGTAAAAAAAAAAATTTTGATGCGAATGAAATGTTGATTAGCAATATTGGCACTTATGTGAAAAACCATAGTGACGTTTTAAAACGAGAAAGTCGCAAATTTGACAAAATTTCTTGTTGAAAAATCAACAACTCGAACGTATAAAAGCGATTCGTTGTATTTTATTCCTAGCTTATTCCATATGACTTAAAAATCACTGACACTTAAAAATTTCGAATGAAAGTTTTCTCTTGCGTGTTATGTTTTATTCTGCAACGTGATATACATTGACAGTTCAGTGATATTTTTATCGATTTTTTGACAACGTTTTCCACAAGAACCATAAATAACAGAATCAAAATAATGAATTGATGACACACAATTATCTCTACTGAGGTCTATATTTTTGTTGATTGAACAAAGGGTTTCGTAGAACCATTGCTTCTCTTCCGTTTTCTGGAGTTTCTAAAAACATGGCTGCTATCACTTCCATGAAACAAGATACTTGTTTTATGATTATTTTCCTCAGATGTCTCGTAAAAGAAATAACTGACATACTTCCGTTTTCTGCCACAACAGGTACAAAGTCGGCATAAATTTTTAAATTCACGTTTAAATTTCTCCTGTAAATGAAAACAAAAACTCAGTTAGATAATTCAAAACTTCCATATCGCATAGATTTATATGATATCACAAGGAAAACAATAAAAGCATGTAATTTAAAAATTATCCGTATTTATCAGCAAACACGTACATTGCAGCAATATGCATGAACTACGACACATAATACATTTCCTTATTTAATTTGGTGGTCGTTTTCTCTTTGAAGGTATCTCCCGCCCAGTTGTCAGCACTTTTAATGACATATTATATGATTGATTTGTTAATTTTCTGTTTATTTACTTTATGTAAAATGTTTGATTATGTACAACACTAAGGTTTTTCTAACCACATGCCTAATCTGAATTTGACAGAAATTTTACGAATTTTCGGTATTTACCTTCGTTTTTGATTGCAAAAGAGGGTGAAAGATATTAAAGGGACATTCAAATTCATAAAACGAAAATAAACTGACAACACCATGGCTAAAAAAGAAAAAAAGACAAACAGACAAACAATAGTACACAAAACACAACATAGAAAACTAAAGACTGAGCAACACGAACTCCACCAAAAACTGATTTCAGGTGCTCCGGAAGGGTAAGCAGATTTAGCTCCACATGTGGCACCTGTCGTGTTGCTCATGTTAGTACAAACCCGGTAATAAGTCTAATTCCGTAGGTCATATTCGGGAAATAGGGACGAGATTGTACTAACGACATTATGAACATATCCCTTATTATCTGTGAAACGAATATTCCGTAACGGTATTGTGATGGCGTCCATAAAATTGACGAAGGGATGAATTCAACTTTATCACTTGGAACTCTTGGTTCAATAGCTTCCTTGTGAGCAGCAACCCTCTATCAAGGAAATCATGACAGGAAATACAAGCTCTGGAGTATCGTATCAACTGGGAGATATATACTCCGTATGCAGGCGCTGCTGGAATGTTGCTACATAAAAATGGAATTGGGAAGCTGAAATCATATCTTTTGTCATAAAGTTTTGTTTTTTAACCGACCCTCATTGTCAATTTCTAGATGTAAGTCAAGATATGAGGCAGACTAAACTGTATCTGTTGTATTCTTTATCTCAAGTTCGATGGGATAGATGCGTTTAACATAGTCACCAAATTTTGAATTATTTAGTGAAAGAAAATCATCTATGTATCGGAAAATTAAGATAAAGGATACTGCTAACTTCTTTTCTTTCTTCCTAAGAAGTTCCTGTATGAGGTATGAGGAACAAGTCGGCAAGAAGAGGGGCACAGTTGGTTCCCATGGGAATGCCGATTGTTTGTTAAAAAACACGTCCTACAAACGGAACAAATATGTTGTCAATCAAGAAATCAAGCATCCTGATAATGTCAGTTTCAGAGAATATTTTGTTAGAATCAGAGTGAATTTTTACATAGTAGGATTTATCCCTCCCTAAGACAAGATACTTGTATCTACGTTGGCCATTCTTTTTATGAAATAAATCAGGACCAACGTTTTCAATTTGTCTTTTAGTTTGGAATGGGGAATACTTGTGTAACGTGTAGAAAAGTCAAATGTTTTAATACTATTGCAAGATGAAAGAGTCTTAGATTGTATGTACTCTAAAAGATCTTTGAATTTTCTTAGCATCCACATCTGATTCACGCCACCATTAGAACGGGTAGTTTCACAATAACATTGAAGCCCGGCTTTGATACATTAATATTAATATAATGGTTAGAAAATACATCAAATAACACCATTACAAACTTAATCCCTATGATATATTCAATTTTTAAAAATTTACCTGTTACATCACTTTTTGTGGCGTTGATACATTCGTGTAACGCACAGTTCATAATTCTATTGTGCTGTACTTGTGTGCTGTCGAAATTGTTTCAGTTAAATCGATTTATGACTACTGAACAGCGGTATACTACTATTGCGTTTATTTGATTGCTGATAAAATTGATGTTAATAATTTAGAAAGAGGTTTCGTGGAGCACTTGGAAGACCCAGTAATATACCGTTGTTTGTAAGGACACTTTAGTTTAGGTATCCAATACAGTGATGGAAGAACCAGTTCTTCATCTTTGGTTGAAATCTTAAAGGAACATAGAACAGACCTATGATTATCCAGGATTTCCTCTTTAGTAAGTGTCGTGGGGGTATATGTTGACTTTTCAAGTGAATTGTCAATACCTAATTCATTTATCAAGTTGGATATGTAATGTGATTTACACACAAAAACGATGTTGTTTGGGGCATTATCTGCGAGGACAACAATATATCTGATTAAGCTTTCTAACTGTTTTGATTCGAACGCCTTTGGTGAGTCTTTCTCTGATATACATGTAGATGATACGCGTGCATCTGCCGTATCAAATCATAATCATGGTATGTTTTATGTTTTAATTTTCTAAAGCACAAAATCACTGTAACACCGATCAAAGTAATAACTTTTCTTTCTATGTTCTAGCTAGAAAACAGCAAAAGTGAATTATTTGATGTGTGAATAATTAAATAACAAAAAAAGGAAAACAAAATGACATGACGTGAACTGAAATATAACAGCTCGAAAGTCTGAAATTGCTTTAAATACTGTCAACGGTAATAAGACAGGAATATGGCAGTTGCTATCAAACAGATCGTTTCTATGTATGTTGGCGGTTTTTTTTTTTTGTAACACTTTGGTGTTTCTGTTGCCTTTGTTTTACTCTTATAGTTGATGTGTTTCCCTCGGTTTTAGTTTATAACCCGAGTTTGTTTTCTCTCAATCGATTTATGACTTTTGAACAGCGGTATACTACAGTCCCTGTAACGTAAAAGTTAACACTTTTTTCATTCGGGAATCGTACGTACAGCGTTCGGGAATCGTTCGTATAGCGTTCGGTCATCGTTCGTACATCATTCGTATAGCATTCGTACAACGTTCGGTCAGCGTACGTTCATCGTTCGTTCATCGTATGGTAAATGTCATCGTTTAGGGTTTTGTATATCGTGTGGTTCATGGTATCGTAAAGCGTTTTATTTGTCGTATGTAACATGGTATGGTTTAGCGTTTAACGTTTCGTTTATCGTATGGTTTAGCGTTTCGTTTATCGTATGGTTTAGCGTTTCATCTATCGTATGGTATATCGTTTTTCGGGTTTTATTTCAGAAAATTATTTCGTTTATTATTTTGAGTTGAAATCATTTTATATAAAAAAAAAATGCGAGATAAAAAAAAAATACAAGATTGGATTGATTAATAGTTGGTTGCGTACTTGTACATCGCAAGTAACAACCAAACGGATATCCCACTTTGGGATATTTTTTTTTACTGTCAGCCGAAAGACGACCTGTAGTGATCATATTTCTATCACCTTGTCACCCTTTGTACTACAGTCCCTGTAACGTAAAAGTTAACACTTTTTTCATTCGGGAATCGTACGTACAGCGTTCGGGAATCGTTCGTATAGCGTTCGGTCATCGTTCGTACATCATTCGTATAGCGTTCGTACAACGTTCGGTCAGCGTACGTTCATCGTTCGTTCATCGTATGGTAAATGTCATCGTTTAGGGTTTTGTATATCGTGTGGTTCATGGTATCGTAAAGCGTTTTATTTGTCGTATGTAACATGGTATGGTTTAGCGTTTAACGTTTCGTTTATCGTATGGTTTAGCGTTTCGTTTATCGTATGGTTTAGCGTTTCATCTATCGTATGGTATATCGTTTTTCGGGTTTTATTTCAGAAAATTATTTCGTTTATTATTTTGAGTTGAAATCATTTTATATAAAAAAAAAATGCGAGATAAAAAAAAATACAAGATTGGATTGATTAATAGTTGGTTGCGTACTTGTACATCGCAAGTAACAACCAAACGGATATCCCACTTTGGGATTTTTTTTTTACTGTCAGCCGAAAGACGACCTGTAGTGATCATATTTCTATCACCTTGTCACCCTTTGTACTATATTAGATTGGAAAGATTGGATTGGAAACATTTCACTTGTTAATTAAAGCAAGTTATGTTAATTATTATATTTTTTTATTTAATACTAATTGCGTAATTAATAACATTTCAAATTTGATCTTATAAAAAGTTAAAAAAAAAAAAAAAAAAACCTAAACAATACCCTTAACTAGTTCAATGGAACGTGAATTATCTTTATAGCTTTATAGCATGATAGCTTGCTGTTCGGTGTGAGCAAAGGTTCTGTGTTGGAAGCCGTACCTCGACCTATAATGGTTTACTTTTATAAATTGTTATTTGGATGGAGAGTTGTCTCATTGCCACTCATACAACATCTTCCTATATCTATCTATTTTACATAAAACTTATGTAGTCGTAGTGATCATATTTCTATCACCTTGTCACCCTTTGTACTACATTTGTGTACTGTTGCCTTTATTCATGGAAGTAATCTCAAAGTAAAATAACAAAAATACAAAACCCCAAGGAAAAGTCAAAACGGAAAGTCCCTTATTAAATGGCAAAATCATAAGCTCAAACACATAAAACAAATGGAAAACAAGGCCGTACGGTGACCAATATTTTTGTTTATTTCACCCGATCGCCGTTTGGTCATTGGTTGATAGTTGTCTCTTCGGCAATGATCCCATATTTCCCTATTTTAATTTTGAAGACGTGAATGAACAAAACGAACACATTGTTTCGTCTTATTCATGGAAACCAAGTTGAACAAAATATAACGGCATGCTTTACCTTGTTTACACTCTAAAAACAGTAATTTCCAGATCCATTATAAATAAATCAAATTCAAAACACCAATAAAACATTAGGTTACACTATTTATTAACATGAACTTCATAACCTTTCAAAAACACCTAAAATCGGCCCCGGGTTTAGATTTGGTTCATGGTGTACCTCTGTACGTGGTTTTTTTTTCTTTTTTTTTGTCGTGGCGATGTCTCTTTGACTTATGAGTTTTGAATGTCATCTGGGTATCTTCCGTCTTTTTTTTAAATGTCTTTAAAGCAAAAGGCGAATTACATGCTATATAAATCTTTTCTTTGTGACTTGTGTATTGCTCTGAGCACTTACGTTCGTGTTTTTCGTCTTTGATTATCTGAAGTTATTTGAAACTATCGATCGATAGCTATGACCTGTTGCAGCCCATAACTATGTTGTTTCATGTCAAGCATGACATAAAACGGTCTGATATATTTCCACAATTTTTACCATATAAAAATCGTCGTGTTGCCAAGCCTTTTGGACGATGCCACTGCTGGTGGAGGTTTACTCTTTGAGGATTTTACCAGCCCAGAAACCAGCACCTCTTTGTCGATATACATTATCATTGATACCTTCATATATATATATATATATATCAACTGTTAACAACACTTTGATGTTTTTGAAATACTAAAGATTTTCCACCACAGGAAATGATTATCTCAGCTATATTTGGCAAAACCTTTCGGAATTGTGAGTCCTCAATACTCTTTAATTTTGTACTTAATTTGACTCTTTAACTTTTTTAATTCTATATTTTGAACCTGGTATATATGATGAGGGTAGTCGGTATGGATTATTGTGCCTGAAATGTTTTAGAATAATATATCTCATTAAGATTTTGAAAACTGTTATTGATTTTCAAATATGTGGACGGTTTAGCATTATGAAAATGTTAAGCTAAATCTATATATATATATATATATATATATAAGATATTTTCGTTTAATGTTTTTTTTTCGGATTTGTCCTATTACTTAACATTTTATGTACACTATAAGAAAAAGGAACAATAAAAAGTAAAGGGGAATAAAGACCGATAACAACTTAAACAAAGATTGATGACACGAACCGCTAAAAAAAGGAAGGTGATGACATGAATTAAAGTAACACAAATTCCATCAACTCATTTGCTGGTAAGCAGTTTCTGCTTCACCTTTGACATTCCCCAAAATACTTACATTCAAAAGTCCATATATGAAAGGATTGTAGCAGGAATTGCTCATGGCCAACCAGTTTGAACAAAACCAAACTATGTTTATATGTTGATATCTAAAAAAGAATAAAAGTCTTAAACAGTATATCATGTACATGATAATTTGTTAGGTAATGTTTCTCTATCCTTTATAATATTTGCCTAATAATGGCTATTCTTTATATCATAGCACCCTATCATTTATTGTTATTCCATATTTTTTTTTTCATTTTACTTGTTTTTATGCATTCTTTATTTCCTTGGCCAAATCTTGTGTAGATTCGGCCCATTATTCTCTATTCTATAAAACCCATCCAGACCCTCATGTAAATATGGATACTGTAGACATATTTGTGTTACAAGTGACAAAAATTGTGAATGTATTACTAAAACAACTATCGGACAATCCAGTGGCCTACATTCCATTTGGCGGGCAACAAAAGGATGATTGATTAATGTCGTTATAGTTTAATCGAGTGAGATAAAAGTCTAATTGAAATATTGAAATGGAACAAAAAGGGGTAAACAAACGCATCAAGTGATAACCCGCTAACGTAGATTGCTGCTGTGCCTTTTAGGTCAATTAGCTCTTCAACTGTTAAGGTTAACATACACTCTTGGCTTTCAAATATTCGGTTTCGAGCGTTCCTGGTGAGGTAAATCCAGAAAAGCGATTCTGACGGATGACATAATATTTGTTAGTGTTGTTTTCATTTCTTTACCAATAAATTGTAATTAAAAAAAAATGCATCTAATTATGTGCTTCTAATTTAGAGAACGCAAAATTAATGAGTTAGCATCGTTTTTATCTTGAATTTTTAGCTATTAGCATTATTCATTATGTAGGTATACGAAGATAACAAGAATGTATGTAGCCTTTAAGATTGGATTTATCGTTTGATGGTTTTGTCATTGACATACAACTCTCTATCATCTTCTTTATACATATAAGATCGGTAATTCTCTCCGGGCACTCCAGCTTCCTCCACCAATAAAAACAGACCGCCACGAAATAACACAATAGTGTTGAAAGTGGCGTTAATCACTAATCAATCAATCAATCAATCAATCCTTATACATATTGTAATATTAAGGCTCTACTCATAATAGCAAATCCTTCTAAAACACTCGTTGTTCCTGTTTGAGAGATGGATCACTTGAATAAGGAAATCTGACAATAAAGTCTCTGCAGAAGTATGATTTCAAAAGTTTGATGTGCCGCGACTTTCGTTTACAATTAAATATGTTTCTACTAATCATTTAGTTTATCAATATATCTTTATGTTGACTTATAGGAAACATAATTAAGTCTTTAAAAAGTAAAATACAAAAAATACTGAACTCCGAGGAAAATTGAAAAAGGAAAGTCCCCAATCAAATGGCAAAATCAAAAGTTCAAACACATCAAACGAATAGATAACAACTGTCATATTCCTGAATTGGTACAGGCATTTTCTTATGTAGAAAATGGTGGATTGAACCTGGTTTTATAGCTAGCTACATCTCTCACTTGTATGACAGTCGCATCAAATTCCATTATATTGACAACGATGTGTGAACAAAACAAACAAAAACAATAGGTAAAAATGTCACAACGAGGGGTAAGTAGTCTAGTTCGGTAGGTCACATTCGTGAGAAGGGAACGGGATTGTAGTTACGACATAAGGAACATATCCGATATCATCTGTGAAATGGATATTCTATAACGGTCAACCAACTCGTGATGGCGTCCGTAAAATTTACAAAGTGATGATTTCAACTTCACCATTTGAAACTCTTGGTTTAAAAATGAAAATTCATAATTGGGAAGCTGAAATCATCTCTTTTGTCGTAAAGTTTTGTTTTCAACCGACCCTCATAGTCAATATCTAGATATAAAAGAGGGACGAAAGATACCAGAGGGACAGTCAAACTCATAAATCGAAAACAAACTGACAACATAAGAAAATGCCTAAACACAAGGTGCACAAAACACAACACAGAACACAGAAGACTGAGTAATGCGAAACCCATCAAAAATTGGAAGTGATCTCAGGTGTTCCGGAAGGGTGAGATCATGCTCCACATATGGCACCCGTCGTAATGCTGATGTAAGTACAAAGCCGGTGATAAGTCTTATTCAGTAGGTTGTCTGGGAAAAGGAGGACGGGATTGTTGTTGACGACTATTGTTACATATCCGTCATCATTCTATTATCAAACAACTCGTTATGGCGTCCGTAAAATTTATAAAGGGATGGTTTCAGCATCACTACTTGGAAATATTGGTTTAAAAGTTTCCTGGAAAGCCGTATCTAGGACATCCTGAAAGGAAATGCAAGCTATGGCATATCGTATCAACTGAGAGATAAATAGTCCATATGCAGGCGCTGCTGGAATGTTGCACCATAGAAATGGAAATTTCACAATTTACAATAGAAGTCATACAATGATATTGATTTTAAACGTAGTCCTAGACGATCAGTCTTTGATTTTACCCCTAATTGCAGCGAACACGATTTTGACGTGTTAACTGTGTCACGGTTTTGGAACGTACCACTGACATGCAGAAATCGACGCGAGTGCGCTTCTACACCATTTGATGAATACATGTAGTTTATAATATAAGTACTATGTCAACAAGATCGAGAAAACTACTTACTCATTTACAATGGGATAAACTGCTGATATGAAGTTATATAACTGAAGTGGCAACCAGCAAAAGGCAAACAGACTAACAACAATGATGAGCATCTTCACTACCTAAAAAATCAATAAAAATCTGTTTGATGACATACAAATTTACATTTAATTATTCACTGTCTGAATCTTAATTGAATATAGCATGGCAATCAAAAAAGACATTTAGACTTACAACAAAATTCAGGATCTTCACTACTTAAAACAAAAAAACAATCTGATTAATGACATACACAATGTTACCCTGGTTTTTTGGCTGATTGCTGAATGTTTATTATCATGACCATAATATAGAACAGCGTAATGCTAAGAGCAAATTAATTGATGAAATATTCAAAACTCAACAGTATGCAAACGAAATATGGGATGTACAGTTCATTTTCTTTTTCAATAAGAAATAAATGATTAACCTTTCAAATAAATCAATGATAAAAAATGTATCCGTCATTTCTTAATTTTTGTCGTCCCGACATGGCCAAATATAAGTGACTCAAGACTAGGAACTATGACGAACATGATGCCCCTATTTTTCCCCTTTAATATACCGCCTTGAATAGAAACACAGCGTTATCTCCAGTCCCATGGGGTTATTTATACGATGCTTTATGATATACATCAGAATTGTCTAAAAAATGGCGAATTTGTAAAGGAAGATGTACTCGAAACTACTAGACAAACTGCTCAAACAGATAATGAATATTGAATAACGGGTAAAATAATTACTTTATTACTTCGTTGGCGCCTTTCGGTTGATTTTTTACAAAGTCTAATCGTTTTATATCACAATAAACAGTGAATTGTGCCATACGTTAACTCTCTCGTTCATCTATTGTTTCTGATAATTCACTGTGTTCTTGACCATGACTTGTAGTTACTTTTTAATGCCATGGGGAGCGGTGCACTACACCAGTAGATGATGATCGTGTCGATGAATGCGCTTTAGATTATTGTTACCCAAATTTGTTTCGTTTTGTCCGTTATAAATTTATTTGATAATGTACGTATGTTAACTTTATATAATGTAAGGGAAACTTGTTTCGTAATCTTTTTCGTTTTTTTTTAAATAATGTCAAATATTTTTGGCATTTAGTATGCTGATATCATAGCAATTAAGTCTTTTAGTTCAAATTGTTTGTTTTGTTTGTTGGTGTTTTTTTTATTATTGCGAAGCATGCTACAGGATGTAATTCGTAATTAGAAAAAGTCAAGCTGATAACTGCTCACGAAGATTTCTGGGTTTTCAGTTAATCGGTCGAATCGGATACAGAGAATGCTAAAAAGGTAGAAAGATTGACGAGAATGCAATCATATACTCACAATAATTCTAAATACTTAGTATAAGAATAGACAAAAGATGAATAAATAATTAAAGCATTAACCTCTTAAATAAATAAAAGCTGGAAATAAATTATGATCATAGTGTTTTTGATTTTGATACTAATTTTATCTATTGGTTTCCGCAAAACCAAATGCTTTTATAAAAAAATAATTATACAAATACCTTTTCTAGTGGTAATACTTAAAACGAATTTTTGATATAAAAATAAAGTTTCAAATATAAGTAACCTAGTAGTACATATTAGGTAGTCTTTGTTGCCATCGAACTGGCTACATGTTTTTCATATCAATTGACTATTAAGTATTATTGTATTCGTAATGTATCTCCAAATAATGTATTTTCTGTAAAGTAGTTAAACTGAAACAAAGTAATAATAAATACATTCAATAGATCAACGAAACGACATTCCTGGCATTTCTGTTTCTTTTTCAGGACAAAACCAATTTGGGCAAACTTTCGGTTAATGGTCATTATATTGATTCGTCTGTAATACTTTAATGACCTTGCTATACAAACTACAACGCATTGCACATTGATACATTTTACTCCTACTTTTATGTGATGTCTTTTATACTAATTGCTGTCTGGTCATTTTAGATTTTTACTTAATGACAAATGAATAATATTTTTCTCAGTGCAAAAAGATACAACCGTAAATGAAGCAGTATTAGAAAAGTTAAAATTGTGTTTATTAAATGGTAATAGAACCTAAAAATAAAAGAATTATTTTTTGTTTTGTAGAATAGAAATAATCAAATTCTTTAAGTCATGATTTTTTTAAATTGTTATTGACTTCGAACTAGTCGTTAGTAAATGTGAGTTCTCTCAGATCTTTAATTAGTGTCTTTTTTGTTATAGGATTATTGATACACAACCACGTCTTGTCTGTGTTTTCGTTTGATGTTAAAATACAACGAATTAGATATAAGTACAATTCATTCTTACTTTTATGTGATGTCTTTTATACTAATTGCTGTCTGGTCATTTAAGATGTTGAGTTTATGACAAATAAGTAATATATTTATCAGTGCAAAAAAGCTACAACCGTAAATATTGCGATATGAAGGAAAAGTAAAAACTGTTTTATTAAATTGTATTACAGACCTAAAAAGAAAGGAAATCATTACAAATCATTTTCAATTTGTAGAAAAGAAATAAGCAAATAATTTAAGTCTTCAAAACATGATTTTTTTATTAGTTGCTATTGACTTTGAACTAGCAGTCAGTAAATGTGAGTACTCTCAAATATGTACTGTGTGTTTTAGTTGGTTGGTAGAGGATGTATAAATACCATGCCACGTCAGGCCTCTTATTTTGCAAGATGTGTTTCTGCTTTGTATCGATCTGATGAGTTACACCCTTTTCAGCTGCTTTTTATTGTCTGTTTTTATGATGTATTGTTACACCACTGTACTAGGTTTGGGAACAGGAGGGGGGATGCGCCAGAGAAAACTTGTTTAACAACCCCACATTCTAGATGTGCCTGTCCAAAGGTAGGAGCTTGTAGTTCAGTGGTTGATTTGTCTCATTTGCAATCATGTCACATCTTATCTTTATAAAAACATAAGAAACAGCAAATTTACAATAGCTCACTAAATGATTGAACAGGATCTGAAGACAAAAAAAAACCCCAAAATTAAAAAGACCCCCTTTAAAAACACACACATATATATATATATATATATATATATATATATATATATATATGTATATGTACGTCATCAGCGCAAATGGTGCTACAGGGTAATGCTCATTTCACAATTTGAAAGCTGAAATTATATCAAAATATGATGGAAACAACTGTATTCATGTTATTCGTTATTTCTTGTCAATATTTGGAATCTTAATAACGAAACTTATATTAGTTATGAGTACGCCCTGTACTTTATGTTGACTTGTAAATGGTCTTTGTCTGTTTTTATGATTTTCATCAAATTATAAAAGAATTTAACAAAAATACTAGAGAGTACAACGTACCCCTGCCAAAGCTATTCATCTGGAAAGAAAACGTACAAACAAAATCCAACAACACATGCTGTAAATAGTCTGACATGGCAAAGACAAATATGTTGGGTTTTAATTAATGTTATGTGCATGGTGTGCAAGCACTCTCCACCGTTCTGCCTATTTAGACACAGAAAAAAACTGAGTCGATGATGACCGTGGACTTACTTAAACACAGAAATGAAAGAAGGCATTTAATTTAAAAAAGCAAGGTTAAAATGTCTTGTTTGCAATTTTTCATATGAAGCTATCTAATGTAGGTTACCTTTGGCTGTAGGTTGAATTCTGTCGCTGGAGAATAATAAAAGTAACAACAATCATTACAGGGTTCATGAAGTCTCGTTATTTAACGGACATTGGCAATAATTGTTAAACGCAAATCATTTTATTTAGAATCGTTAGAATATCAAAGGGAAATAAACTTTAAATCGAAATAGTTATAGCCTATCACGTTTGTAGCTTTTGCTGATGAAACTTGATGTAGGGATTCAAATATAATATAGATCTAAAATTTGTGATTTCTATCTATGACGTTTCAATAGATGGCAGCATAATAAATACTGATTAATATTCCTTAATGTTCCTTTTTTATTTAGACTCTAACCGATTTAGAGCTTGAATATTTTATGGACATTATTGTCGTAGACAGTATATATTGACCTCCTTATCTGTATCGTTTTGTTTGTGTCAATGAGTCGCTATCGTCTAAGCATGTATACCCAACACTTCTTATTATTCATATTTTATGTATACATTTTTCCTTTGAGGAATAGAAGCCCAACTTCAGCGTCACCGAATAAATATTACAAACATAATAAAAATGTCAGTGCGTAAAAATACCGAACTCAAAAAGGTTAATTCAAAAAGTAATAGAGAACAAAAACAAGTAAGTCACACGAATAATCGAGAGGTCAAATAATCAGAAATATATTCAGTTCAAATACAAAATCAAAACAAACCATGCTGTCTCTTAGATTTTTTATATTTTTCCCTTTACGTGTGTGGTTTAGCTACATAGACCTACACCACTATTTTCACTTACTTGTTTTTGCATATATAATTTGATACGAAATAAAAATCTGTATAAATATGTTTTTTATAGAGATGAGGTATGATTCCAAATGAGACATATCCACGAGATACCAAATGACGTAGATGTAAGCAACTATGTGTCACCATACGACCTTTATCAATGAGCAAAAACTGTACAATATAGTAAGCTTTAAGCGACTACATGAAAACAATTCAAACCTAACGGCAATGAACACAAAAACAAAAAACAAAACAAATATATGATGAACAGCAACAGCAATATTGAAACACAATATACTAGTAGTTGACCGAAAATTCTACGTCACTGAAAAAACAATCGAGTTTCAAAAATTCAAACATTGGTTTTTAGGAACATCTCTTTTACTCTAAGATTGAGCAAAATAGATACATACATTTCAAAAGTAATTCTTTTAACAGTAATTGAAATCAGAAATGACACCCGTCTTCTGAAATACATTAAATAATATAAATGTAAAACATTAAATTCTTGACATCTATAATATAATGCAGACAAGTTACCAACCTCTAAAAAGATTAAGTTACATAAACAAAACCATTAGACATGCTAGACTGTTAAAAATTTATTTCAAAAACACAAAATTGATACTGCTTAAACTTATTTAAAAAATCTTCATTTCATTTAAAAGTTTAATGTAGTAATGTATTA